CGAAATACTAATATACTAAGAACCATTGTAATTTATATAGATTGGAAACAGCTTAAGGGTTAAGTACATATATTATCATGCTTCATTGTTATTCACATAAACTAAAACTCAGGATTTTAATTGTTGGTGCTCTGTATAAAAGAAACAAAATCTTAGCAAGTTTTTTCGGCTGAGCATGTAGTCGTAGTTTAGGGTTCACCATGAAACGATGGTTTTTCAGTAGCTGCGTTTCCCTTCGGCTCTGGTATACCACCTGCGCTTACCGCTCTGCCACCTTGGTCTTTATAGCTTCTATATATGCCAGATAGGCATATATCGATTGCTTGCATTTTCATCGATAAGTTTGCCAGTGAGGGTAAATATTTTACGTGCGTCAAATTAGCGGCGGTGACTTAGCGTCGAATTTTGGTACTTGTTATCGGAAAACTATCGGTCACTTTCAAATGCATTTATTTATGTTTTTAAGCACGAAACCAAATAAATTTAAATGCAGAATTGCAAAAAATTAAATTATTTACTATCTACATTCATTTATTTTTGAATTTTAATTTATAATATGGGTAAACAAAGGGGTTGAAAAGTTAGGTTTTCGCCATTCTTTAAATATCTTAATTCAGGGATAATGGCCCCGAAAACCGCATACACACGATTGAAGTCTATAGTTTCACCTATCCAATCGTGAAAAAATTATAAAAACCGATCAGCATGTTTTTAAGATATTTGTACTACAGTGCAGCAACCTCGTTGCTAGCCCCATACAAAATGACCGTAAAAAATCACCCTTGCACTTGAACCCTAATAACTTTTCTCAGGGATAATGGCCCTCAATGCACGGTATACCAACTTGAAGATACATGTTTAAGGAAGCTTTACGCATTAATTCTAAGCAAATCGAGCAGCCAGTTTTTTAGAAAAATGGCAAAATGTAAGCACACCTCATGTTGTTCATTCAAAATGCCTATCGAGCTACTAGCTCCAACGGGAACCGAACCACTGCTCGGAATCAGTGTTGAACAATGTTATAAAGTATTGGGCGGGAACAAATTAATTCAAAATACTTGTATATGAAAGAGAAATGCAGTAATATATAAAATAATTGTCATTTTACAATAAAACATTATCTTTGGTAAAATAGACTGCTGCAAAAGACGATACCTATGCATTTAAGTATTTATGCACGTATCATAACAAAAAGGTGGCAATATTTCAACCTATATTATTCTATTTCTCCGATAATGGCCCCAAATGCACGGTAGTTTAACATATAGATCGCGAATTATCAATCATTTTGCTTTTTACATCAAGAAAATCGTCCAGCCAGTTTTAGAGAAATTCGCATTTTTCTATTTTTCTTATTATACCCTCTGTTATGCAAAAAAAACTAGCTGGCAACATTACATACTTAACATATTCATTTATCAAAATGGCGACGATATTTCGACCTTTATTATTCTATTTCTCCGATAATGGCCCCAAATGCACGGTAGTTTAACATATAGATCGCGAATTATCAATCATTTTGCTTTTTACATCAAGAAAATCGTCCAGCCAGTTTTAGAGAAATTCGCATTTTACTATTTTTCTTATTATACCCTCTGTTATGCAAAAAAAACTAGCTGGCAACATTACAAACTTAACATATTTATGTTAGGGGCTGCCAACTTATGAAGAATGCAAACATAATGATATGGAATATATAAAGATGCCAGCTTGTGAAAATAAGTAAAAGTATACATGACGATGAATATTATGTAATCATGATATTTATATTAAATTAATATACTTTATATATATTGAAACATTCTACATCTCTATGTTTGCATTCTTCATAAGTTGGCAGCCCCTAACATAAATATGTTAAGTTTGTAATGTTGCCAGCTAGTTTTTTTTGCATAACAGAGGGTATAATAAGAAAAATAGTAAAATGCGAATTTCTCTAAAACTGGCTGGACGATTTTCTTGATGTAAAAAGCAAAATGATTGATAATTCGCGATCTATATGTTAAACTACCGTGCATTTGGGGCCATTATCGGAGAAATAGAATAATAAAGGTCGAAATATTGTCGCCATTTTGATAAATGAATATGTTAAGTATGTAATGTTGCCAGCTAGTTTTTTTTGCATAACAGAGGGTATAATAAGAAAAATAGAAAAATGCGAATTTCTCTAAAACTGGCTGGACGATTTTCTTGATGTAAAAAGCAAAATGATTGATAATTCGCGATCTATATGTTAAACTACCGTGCATTTGGGGCCATTATCGGAGAAATAGAATAATATAGGTTGAAATATTGCCACCTTTTTGTTATGATACGTGCATAAATACTTAAATGCATAGGTATCGTCTTTTGCAGCAGTCTATTTTACCAAAGATAATGTTTTATTGTAAAATGACAATTATTTTATATATTACTGCATTTCTCTTTCATATACAAGTATTTTGAATTAATTTGTTCCCGCCCAATACTTTATAACATTGTTCAACACTGATTCCGAGCAGTGGTTCGGTTCCCGTTGGAGCTAGTAGCTCGATAGGCATTTTGAATGAACAACATGAGGTGTGCTTACATTTTGCCATTTTTCTAAAAAACTGGCTGCTCGATTTGCTTAGAATTAATGCGTAAAGCTTCCTTAAACATGTATCTTCAAGTTGGTATACCGTGCATTGAGGGCCATTATCCCTGAGAAAAGTTATTAGGGTTCAAGTGCAAGGGTGATTTTTTACGGTCATTTTGTATGGGGCTAGCAACGAGGTTGCTGCACTGTAGTACAAATATCTTAAAAACGTGCTGATCGGTTTTTATAATTTTTCACTATTGGATAGGTGAAACTATAGACTTCAATCGTGTATATGCGGTTTTCGGGGCCATTATCCCTGAAGTAAGATATTTAAAGAATGGCGAAAACCTAACTTTTCAACCCCTTTGTTTACCCATATTATAAATTAAAATTCAAAAATAAATGAATGTAGATAGTAAATAATTTAATTTTTTGCAATTCTGCATTTAAATTTATTTGGTTTCGTGCTTAAAAACATAAATAAATGCATTTGAAAGTGACCGATAGTTTTCCGATAACAAGTACCAAAATTCGACGCTAAGTCACCGCCGCTAATTTGACGCACGTAAATATTTTAAAGTAAGAAACTATTAATCGAAATCGATTTATTTACGCCTCAAGGTATGCTAGCTAGACAAAAATGCGTCTTAATCACAGATATGAGTGTTACTCACTGTTATAATTTAAAAACAATAAAAACTCAATTAAATATTGCTAAAAGCTAAACACTAAAACTGTTCTTACATCGAGGTGTAGACAAACACGTTTTTGACTACAAATTATTGAACGCGTTCTGTAGGGTAGATTCTACGGGCTTTCGCTAGGTGAGAAATTATCTGCATCTGATAGTTCAATGCAAATTTTCTAGAAAAATGCTGTAGTAGTGTTTAGCTATTCGGTACTAAAGATATTTATACAAAAATCCGTTCTGCTCGATATATGTAAGTATTTATTCAAACTAACTAAGTATTACGTAACGCTCTGGTTAAAATCTTTGTAACTTTCAACCAGTGCCATAATTTAGCTAATATAATAATTGTTTCCCAACAGTCATTGCTTGTATCAAACATGAGGAAAAAATTATATTTTAGAATTCAGTTTGATTAGTTATGTATGGATTTCATCACAATAGTACCATACAAGTAAATATACACTTCTGGGAGACTAACAAATCAACATTTTTACAAAACAGCTTATAAGTTTCATTACAACTTATAAGTTTTTTAAGTTGATTTTTTAATAAATAGATTTCCTTATATACTCAATATTAAATAAAACTCATCAATGGATGCAAACACATCTCGGCAGATTGTACGCATTGTTAACGATATTGTTCCTGATGAGCTTGTCACTCAGGTAACGCCGCAGTGCTAACGTAATCAAGTCAAACACACGACTAAGTTATCAGTCTGCGATAAGTAGGACAAATATCTCGACTACCTGTTCTTTCACTTCGGATATGTATGTATAGATTCGTGTACATACACATAACAATTTCAAAATGCTATAAATAGGAGGGTGGCTTGCAATCAAAACACAGTACACCGAATTACTTAGTGAATGGTATATTCCTTCTTATTTTCTTGTCTGTTTTGATCATAAGGTAAAAATAAAAATAGTGATCTTAAAAGTGTGTGAGTGGTGGATAACTTTATAAATCGTAGCATTATAATGAAATAACAAAAAAAATCAAAGAAGTACGTTAAAATTGTAATTGCGATAATTAAAATGAAGCCCTTCTCAGTTAGTAAGCAAATTTGATTGTAGACAATGCTGTACACACAAATATGAATGCGGGCAATTGATATTGATGGAGAGTTAAATATTTACAGTTTGGGACACAGAAGTTTTAGATTTGTTGCTTACTGATTTCGACCACACTTTCCTTTATTGTAATATGTGTATATACAAATATTAAGAACTTTAATATCATGTTAGAATTGAAATGTTACGTAGATGCATGACAAAAATCAAAAATATCGTCAGTCAAATGTTCTGATAATAAATGAAAGCACAGAATGAAAACAAAAACTCGTTATTTTTAAAATTGATATCTCTCTTATGTTGTTTTCATAATGTAGCTTAAGTAAAATTACCCGGTTCATTTTAAAACAATTTAATACGTGCACAAAGATAAAACTTTCTGAATTAAGCATTAGTGTACATTTGAATAAAGCTTGCCCATGATGATCTGGCATCACTTACAGTGACATTTTGATAGTATACTGAAAATAATGAAAAAATCTTTATTGAAAAATATCGTATCTTTAATTTGATGGTGTTTTCGTCGCTTGAAAAAGTTGGTCACACTGTAGAATTGTGTATACTAAACCAGTTACCCGTTGTGTTGGCAAAAATAAAACTACTACCATTTCTGGTAACGAGTGTATTACAAAGTTTGTTGCGAAAGGACATATGCATACACAATAAATTTAAATGTTTATGTTTACTTATATTTAGTATACTTAAAATAATTATAATTTAATAGCGCTGTGTTCGCGTTGGCACACTGAATCTTGCTGCCTGCCTGCAGCAGTTGACGAGTTGTAGTTAAATCGTGTGGCAACACCCATCTAGCATAGTATCCAAACTCAAGTATAGTTCGGTAAATAAATAATATAATAATAATATAACGTTCCCGTGTCTGGTGAATACAAATATATTTCAGTTTATTAATAAAAAACATGTAATCACGCTTTTCTATGAAAGTGTGTGAGCGTGCAAACGTATATGGATACATACAAATGAATGTACATATAGGAAAGGTGCCAATATATGTGTGTATGTATGTATATAGGGAAAGTGATATCATCCCGCGGCCTGAGACTGCAGATATCCACCAGCTGGTTCAGTTGCCATCTTAGTCGGGTAATAGAAATTAAGTAAGGAAAAGCAACAAAATCAATATTTTAAATGATATGTATGTTACGCATTAAATATTGTATGAATATATACATGAAGAGTGCCTTTAACTGTCATGAATTTGATTTGGAAAACCAGATAGTCGCTACCAATGTGAATTTTGTAAAGCCAATACAACTATTCAGACAAACCTATGGACTTACATTTAATCTGTGATGTGTGTGCATGACGTAATTTGTGCTCGAAGTCTAAAATTGCGTTTAGCGAATGGGAGATGGTGTGGTAGACATGTGTGTGTGTGTGTATATTAATTTGTATACAAACTTGATCTGAGCATTAGCACAGCCGAATAGACGCGCTTACCTTTCGGGTGTTCTAAATTTTGACACAGCAAAGAGGGAATTTTTATTCCTAGCATCTATGTATATACGCGCATGTCCGTGTGTGCGTAAATGTTAGGTCTCTCTCTTTCTGCTCCTAGTTTTGTTTGTGTGTATATTTTTTGAGCCAACTGCTAAACCTTAACTGAATGTCAGTTAACCCAAATTACAAATACAGTTACATCTGTAACCGCAAAAAGCCTTAAAAATTCAATAAATTCAACTGACCCCTATGCTATGAGCAGGCCATTGCGAATACCTAATTGCATTTATTTTTCTTATGCCCTTGTACAAATATACATCCACGCAATGTGCATATACATAACTATATACATATACGCACTCGTATAAATGAAAGAATTGGAGTTAGACGATATTTAAAGTATCAATGTTGTGCACTCCGCACGAAGATCATGTTTTTTTTACTTTGCTGTTAACTTTCCTTTTTCTCAAAACGTTGTACTACACTGAATCAAGACAAAATCAATTAAGTCACTGATTAATACTTCGGAAAGAAATATAAGAAATATTTTGTTATCCTTATCAGTGACAATTGAGATATTCCCAAATATTAATTGCAGCACCAATGTGGTCAGGAATCCACCGGTTGAATCCACTTTGTGACGGAATAGTTTTACGTCATCACCTTTCGGAAAGACGTCATTGCCTCGTCCAAAACATACTACTTATCTTGACTGACAGTAAACCTCATGGCCACCCTAACAAATATACATAGGTCATAAGTGCTTACTTACTATTCCAACATATTAAAAAGATACAACATATATTTGTGAGAAGAAGTGAAGTCGTTCTGCATTTGTTTTGTGTGCATGTATATACATGTATGTGTGTACTTACTGCATGTATATACATACATACATTGTCGAATTTAATTTTTTATTCCCTTGCTAAGGGAATTAAAATATTGTCTCTAAAAATACAAAGATCGGCATATAACAACCAAAGATAATCAAGATTGCATAGTGGGTTGTATTCAAAAGATAGTTGCTAAATTGCTAAATGTTTTGGGATTGATTCTCAATTCTGTTCTTTCTTAGGCCGACAACAAGTTCATTTGCGCAGTATTGATGCATGCTCTTGGATCGAACCCCCCGTTGTTGGATTTCAACATTTTGCCCAGGCACAATGTTTTATTTTCGAAATACAGATGCTGTTAATGTGTACGTACATATATGTGTAAAGACTGAAACTAAACAGAAACGTTGAACGCAACTTTTATAGACACGAAATGCAAGCATGTGTGTTTGCGTAAAACCATTATACATACATACGTACATATAAATAAAAAAAATAGAAAGCAAGAAACTTGATTAAGAGAGTCTAGATCCTAAAACTTAAGAGATTTTGATATTGATTTTTATCGATTGCTTGGGAACGGCAAGTTATTGATTATTGGAAACAATCTCGTGCTGCACGCGCACTAAGAGGTTTTTAAGTTTTGTTCTCCAAATATCTTACGTTTGAAATGTTTTATATTATAGATATTATAACCAATGGCCACAATCGATGGAAGACCGGCACAGTATGGGATATCACTTAAACAATTACGAGAGCTCATGGAGCATCGTGGCAGGGAGGGTGTGGCAAAAATAAGTGATTTCGGTGGAATTCATGAGTTATGCAAAAAGTTATATACATCCCCAAATGAAGGTAAATGAAATCTCAGAATAAATTAACTTAAAAATAGGAATAATTTTTAAACATTCTAATGGTTCTTGATTCAGGCCTCAGCGGGTCAAAAGCTGATGAGGAGCACAGACGTGAAACGTTTGGCTCAAATGTAATACCACCGAAACCCCCAAAAACATTTTTGACACTAGTCTGGGAAGCGCTTCAAGATGTTACACTTATTATTTTAGAGGTAGCTGCGTTAGTATCCCTTGGTCTATCATTTTATAAGCCTGCTGACGAGGATGCGCGTAAGAACTTTCTATACTTATTTACATAACAAAGAGTCACATATACTTACATTTTCCTTATATTTAATTGTAGCATTACTCCAAGAAGAAGATGAACATCACGGGTGGATTGAGGGTCTCGCTATACTTATTTCGGTCATTGTAGTCGTCATAGTAACAGCTTTTAATGATTACTCAAAGGAGCGACAATTTCGCGGGCTGCAGAACCGTATAGAAGGCGAGCACAAATTCTCCGTAATTCGTGGTGGTGAGGTATGCCAAATTTCGGTTGGGGACATCCTTGTCGGCGATATTGCTCAGATCAAGTATGGCGACCTTTTACCTGCCGATGGCTGCCTTATACAAAGCAATGATCTAAAGGTAAGCTGTTCCTCTCGCTCCAACTCTGAGCCTTCTTCGCATCTGAAAAATGTTAATTAAACAGAAGAAATATATTAAATTTAACGTTTTAACGGTCTATTATAGTTAATTGTCAAATTATTGTTCCTCTAATTTGAACAAGAACAAAGAGAGCTTGTTCTCTAAAATACAGTGTATTTTTTTGCGATGTTCTGCTATGTTCAAGTATATACACATTCAAACGCTGTTTGTCGACGATTGTTGAGTCGCAGAGTTTATCATAAATTTATTGGTCTTCCTATTTAGGTGGACGAGTCTTCCCTGACTGGCGAATCAGATCATGTTAAAAAGGGCACTGAGGCCGATCCAATGGTTTTATCCGGCACGCACGTTATGGAGGGCAGTGGCAAAATGGTAGTAACAGCCGTTGGCGTTAATTCCCAGGCCGGTATTATTTTCACTCTGCTTGGAGCCGCTGTAGACGAGCAAGAAGCAGAAATTAAAAAGATGAAAAAGGGTATGTATTAGTATTTATCAAAATTTTATCCGTACACCCAGATAAAAATCATACCCTATTTCAAACTGGATTGTAAAGAATTGAACACAATAAGAAAATGCCAATGATTTCTTTATATTTACGTTTGTTGTAATTGTCTTGAAAACCAATACCAAGACCGATTAGTGAATTTAGAATATTTTGCTAAAACTAGTCTAAAGAAGCGGCGCTGATTAGAACTATAATTGTCACTCAACAATATGTATGTACATTATCATACGTTCCTACTTAATAAGAATTCTACTGCCGATAATCTTTAATTATATCGTTTATGTTTTATTTTTATTTTTTCATATTCCAATTGTCATACGTGAAATGCATGACGTGAATTGATTGACCCATCTTTGAACTCCTTCATCTACCTCAATAAAAAAAACACCAAAAAATCAATCTATCAAAAAACCAACCAATCAACCAATCAACCAACCAACCAACCAACCAACCAACCAACCAACCAAAACCACCACCACTACCAACACCAAAACAATAAAATATAACAAATCGAATAAACAATTTAAATGCTTTAACTTATGGCTAATTTATCATATATCTACGTAAACGGATTAAAACAACGAATTACATTTTCCATGATTCAGAAGCTAAAAAGGCGGGCAAGCAAAAGAGCAAGAGCCTGACAGGTGAATCACTTACAGTTAAAATACTTGTATCTAGTTAGTTTCAATTTACCGTTTTATCATAAAAAGGGAAACACACAAGTCGATAGATATTTTACAGTCAACTAATAAAAGAGTAAGATAATCTTGAACTTAGATTAGATATCTTGAAAAATGGGTTGCACAGTAATCATGACCAAAATATAAGAAACCATTATTATTATTATTTTTTGTTTTTTTTTTTTTCTTTTGTTGAGTTGTCCTCGCAGGCAGACAATTTTCCCCTTTGAGTCTAAATAAATTTTCTAAAAAGAATCATACATAAGTATGTAAACAATATTTGTCGTAGAGAAATGGAAAAATATCTTATATGTAATACTTACATACATAAATACAGCACAATATACATGTGTCAATAAAGTATTTATCATTGCTAAATGGGGTTTTTCGTAAAGTGCTATAGGAAAGCAGTTCAGTACATATCGAAAATAAAATACCCTTGCAGACCTAAAACAAAAATAGTATTTAGCATATGAAAGATAAAAGTATTTAATTCTAGAGATTTGTTTATTATTTTAATGTAAATTATTTAAAAGCAACTTCTAAATACGCCAAATACGTTTGTACAAATAATAATATATTTAAATAAACTTAGTATGATTCTTGAAACCTTCTAATTTTCTTACAAAGCTAATGTGCTTGTCTTTGAATATTTGTTTGTTTTAGAATGAGCTTATCCCACGAAACCTCAATTTTCGCATAATTGTTCCATGTTGTAGATTTATCAAGAATAGTAACCCAATGATGATTTTAAATACAATTATAATGTTTATCCTGACATGATTAGGAATTCGTTAAGTTATAATAAGTTTACTTTCACAATGTTGTCTGCAAGGGTATGATAATAAATTTGTACTCAACAAATAATAAGTGCGTGCTAATAATAAATATAATACAAATTTGCGGATCATGCAGGTGAGAATGACGGCCGAATACCAATAAAAGAAACATCCCATGTTTCGCAGCCACGAGGTGCTAGTGAGGCTGTTAAGTCGGAATCGGACGGAAATCACGTGCAGCAGTCCTCAACGCCAGCCCCCGAAACAGGACACAAAAAGGAAAAGTCTGTGCTGCAGGCAAAGCTTACGAAGCTGGCTATACAAATTGGCTACGCTGGTTCCACTATAGCTGTTCTCACGGTTTTTATTCTGATTATCCAATTCTGTATCAAGACGTTTGTGATTGATGAAAAGCCATGGAAGAACACGTATGCTAATAATTTGGTTAAGCATTTGATTATTGGTGTCACAGTATTGGTCGTGGCCGTGCCTGAGGGCCTTCCACTGGCTGTAACGCTCTCTTTAGCATACTCGGTGAAGGTAAGTGTATCATTTTTAAAATTTTTTTAAATACCTTGAATACATTGAAAATGGGCGTTATCAAAAAATAATATGAGTACTAAGATAAGTAATCCACTATATTTATATAAATAATGAATTACGAAACGATTTGCATTTTATAAACGCAGCGTGTAATTGCTTCCGAATTGTTGTATAATCTCTTACTTTCCGATTTACAGAAAATGATGAAGGATAATAACTTAGTGCGTCATTTGGATGCTTGCGAAACTATGGGTAATGCTACTGCAATTTGCTCTGATAAGACTGGTACGCTTACGACAAATCGTATGACTGTTGTACAATCTTACATTTGCGAGAAGTTATGCAAGGTGCTACCAACGCTTACTGACATACCACAGCATGTGGGCAATTTAATCACAATGGGAATATCAGTTAACTCGGCTTATACCTCCAATATAATGGTAATTTTTAGAAATTATTTTTAAACAGAATAAAATTAATTTTGTTATTTCTATTGATTTTTTATAATGCTTGTAGCCTGGTCCAAAGCCGGGCGACATACCAATTCAAGTGGGCAACAAAACAGAATGCGCTCTTCTGGGATTTGTGCAGGGGCTAGGTGTTAAGTATCAATCAATACGGGATGAAATTCCAGAGGATAGATTCACTCGGGTTTACACCTTTAACTCTGTACGCAAAAGCATGGGAACAGTAATACCTAGACCTAACGGTGGATATCGATTGTACACGAAGGGAGCTTCGGAAATCATAATGAAAAAGTTAGTTCTAGACATAGAACACTGCTTTTAGCATTTTAGATTTTCTCATGGCTACAAAATATTTTCAGATGTGCTTTTATCTATGGTCATGAGGGGGCATTAGAAAAGTTTACACGCGACATGCAGGAGCGTCTAATACGTGAAGTAATTGAGCCAATGGCCTGTGATGGCCTGCGCACAATTTCTGTCGCTTATCGCGACTTTGTGCCTGGTAAGGCAGCAATCAATGAAGTGCACATTGACGGCGAACCCAATTGGGATGATGAAGAGAATATAATGTCAAATCTGACCTGCCTGTGCGTTGTTGGCATTGAAGATCCAGTGCGTCCCGAAGTACCTGACGCTATACGCAAGTGCCAACGTGCCGGCATCACTGTTCGCATGGTCACTGGTGACAACATTAACACAGCACGTTCGATTGCCAGCAAATGTGGCATTTTGCGACCGAACGACGACTTCCTTATACTGGAGGGTAAAGAGTTTAATAGACGTATACGAGACAGCAATGGTGATGTATGTCTTTACCTATGTCGAAATAAGCTGGTTTAATGCTGTCCGCTTTATATGTTTTGCTCCACAGATCCAACAGCACCTCCTTGATAAAGTTTGGCCCAAGTTGAGGGTTCTTGCTCGTTCATCTCCCACCGACAAGTATACACTGGTTAAAGGTTTGAACCATTTTACATTATATTTTCATTCATATTCATATCTATTTAATTATTTTTTTTGTAGGAATGATCGACAGTGCAGTGACTGATAATCGGGAAGTAGTTGCGGTAACAGGCGATGGAACCAATGACGGTCCAGCCCTAAAGAAGGCCGATGTTGGATTTGCAATGGGAATTGCCGGCACTGATGTAGCTAAGGAGGCGTCGGACATCATTCTCACCGACGATAACTTCAGTAGCATTGTCAAGGCTGTTATGTGGGGACGCAATGTTTATGATTCAATAGCAAAGTTCTTGCAGTTTCAGTTAACAGTAAATGTCGTCGCTGTCATTGTTGCATTTATTGGTGCTTGTGCGGTACAAGATTCGCCGCTAAAAGTAAGTGTTTGCTTAAAAATTATCATTATAAATTGTCAAAAAAATGTAGGTCTGTAAAAATATACAAATACCCAATATAAATTTCAATGCAGGCCGTTCAGATGTTATGGGTCAACCTCATTATGGACACACTCGCATCTCTTGCTTTAGCAACGGAAGTGCCGACGCCTGATCTTTTGCTTCGTAAGCCATATGGGCGCACAAAACCACTTATATCACGCACAATGATGAAAAACATATTGGGACAAGCCCTATATCAGTTGGTCATCATATTTGGGCTGCTGTTTGTTGGTATGTTAAACCACACCAGATAGCAACAAATAATACTAAATGTGCATTAACCACATAAAGTAATAAGGAATTGATAAAAAAAAATTTTATTTTTTATTTAATAGGCGATTTAATACTCGATATCGAATCTGGACGCGGGCAGGATCTTAACGCAGGACCAACCCAACATTTCACAATAATATTCAACACGTTCGTCATGATGACACTCTTTAACGAAATCAATGCTAGGAAAATACATGGTCAACGTAATGTTATTGAGGGACTCTTCACCAATCCCATATTTTACACCATCTGGATATTCACAATGATTTCTCAGGTCTGGTAATTTTCTTAAGCTACCAAAGCTTTTTATATATTACATTTTACTTTAGGTTGTAATTATCCAATACGGAAAGATGGCTTTCTCAACAAAAGCGCTCTCCCTCGACCAATGGTTGTGGTGTGTATTCTTTGGAATCGGAACACTAGTCTGGGGACAATTAATCACTTCAGTGCCTACAAGAAAATTGCCTAAGATATTATCGTGAGTAAATTTGTTTGTTAATGTTTTTGCTTACGATCGCCAATCAACGTAATATTTCGTAATATTAATATTAAATCCCTAACTCTCATCACACGAATCACTGTATTATTCAGCCCCTTCAATTAACAGAATCCCCGATTTTTAATTCACAGTTTTGTATTTGTTTTTTGCGCAATCAATAGTTAAAATTATCATGTCCTTTATGCCTCCCCCTAGCGCTCCTGAGTATAACGCTTGATTCCTTTGTATTGGCTTGCAGCTCACACGCACATATCCACACAACAAATACACACAACTACAGATAATATATATTATATGTATGCATATTATATCCAAAGTATTTTTAGTGTTACATAGAAAATTAGGTAATTGTTAACAATATTTTTATTTTGATTGCAATAAATGTATGTTACGCATGTTATATTTAATAAGAATAAGTCTGTTCTGTTCACGTAAGTATTTAAGTATTTATTTAACTATGAAAATAATAAGATTTATCGATGAACATATTACATGGCACAGAATTTGGCTCAGGAATAAAATGTTTTCTTAGAAGTATATATAATTCAATACAAATATTGAGTAAATCTGGGTTAAATTGTCAACGAACAAATAATACGTATTCAAAAATAATTTTGGTACTAAGTCCGTCAAAACCTTAGAAAAGCCAAAAAATCATTGGGGAAAATGCTATGTACTGTATATGGGTACGATATCAGATACCTGGAAATTATTAAAACGACCCAATACTCGATCTGCTTTTATTTTTCTCACTTAACATTGTTATCGGTTTTGGCCCTCGCTTAAGAAATAATAAATTATTCCTCTCTTTTATTTTAATATTTTTTAAGACGACCTATTGTATTCATTAGCTATTATAATTACCAATTCAATATTAATCATGGCTGCAACGCAAACAATATTGGTGGTGACTCAGCTCACGGTTTAATTACCAAGCATCAATTCCTATAAATTATTAAAAATTAAACAGCTACAAAAAATAAGAAATAAATAAATCCAAGATGAGAATATTTTAAACTGTAAGTGAAAAGCTGATGAAAAGAAATTTTCGTTGAAGTTGCCGACCCCCAATCTTTACAGTCTCTGCGATGTAAAGTGGATTTGTCAAAAAGACTAATGGAGATATCCGATACATGAGCAACTGTGGGTGTGGCGACAAGTGTAAAGAATGTAGATATTTAACCGTCAGAAATAGTGTATTGTCAATTATAAATAACTTAGTTTTGCTTAGAATCATTAATATTTAATATGATTTATTTTAAATTTATGATAACCTGAAGGGAAAATGTTTTTTATTATTTTGTATGAAGCTTGGTAAGCTTGCCATAAAAAAAATGAATCTAATTTTTCATTCAAGTACACACGCCCCAAGCTTTACATTTAATACTGCGGCAGTTATTATTTTTCCTTTAACTCTACACTGGGAAATACACTCTTGAATAACTTCCACCATAGAGCAAAAATTCTACTTACATTTTTTAAATTTCGGAGATATATTCATAAAACAATATAAATATATACTTAATATGAATTTATACTTCATCTGTATACAATGTACGATAAAGTACATGCCTGATTTTTTGTCTCTGGCTCTTATTAATATCGGACAATAAACACCCAACCTATTTTAAGAACGCATTTATGTCATAGGATCTAAGAGAAAATCAGTGCCGCAGCAAAAAGTAGAGTACGTAGGAAACTACGTGCGTGCTTGTGTGTGCATGTGGGATTTTATATGAATGTGTTGATAAAATGTATGATACGACATCTTGGCGCTAGGTTGAGGATATACTGTTGTTGGGCACTACCCCCCCGACTATAGCACTGTTGTTATGACGTTTTTATGCAAACTGGTCCCGCATTTTTTTTGTTGATTTAGAGCTACATACATTTGCTAGAGAAATCATCATCCAAGTGATTAATATTAATAAATAAATACATACATATAATTATTATTTTTTAGTTGGGGTCGTGGACATCCGGAAGAGTATACAGATGCCATGAATTTAGGTGAGGAGCGGTTCGACTCCATTGACTCTGATAAGAAACCAAGAGCTGGACAAATTCTGTGGATACGTGGGCTAACTCGTCTGCAAACTCAAGTAAGTGTTTTGATCCCCCTTATATTATATAAAAATAGAGTACCGAATATATACATATATATGCAAATAGTTTTCGTTTAGTTTTTATCATGAGTTGTCATTTAATTTGATACATTTATCTCAAAATTTGTATTTTTTCTGAACCTATACATTAATAAAGGGCATATACTTATAGATATGTATAAGGTTATGCCCATATTCGTCATCTATGAAAAAGTTACAAAGAAAATTAAGTATTTGATTTGAGTTTTAATCAACAATATATATGTTAAATAAATATATATATACTTGCATATCACATATGCCATTAATCCGTGATATGTTAACCATTTTCATCAATTGGTCGCATGCGAACATTGGTATGACGACCGAATTTCAAATATAAATTGAGTTTAAATAGTTTGATAAATTGTTCCAACACGTATGAGACCATACTAGAGATGTCAAACTATCAGTATCTACGTTAAAAAGCAAAAATGTATTATTACACATTGGCTACGTTCACCAGGAAACATTCTCCCTGATCACAAAAACATAATTCCAGTAATATCTATATCTATATGTTGTATGTTTAATGGGGTAATACATCTGGGGGGTGCTATGATACATTTTTCTGCCAACTCCGTTGATGACGAAGCTAAATTGTTTAATTGGCGCCTAGAAGTATTGTCATTTTGTTTACTTAAAAAAGCTGATAATCCATTTAATTTAATAACAATGATGGACTAGTAAGTAATAATAAAATCAAATATTTGAAATTAATATTAAATAAAAAGACTCTGATAGCAGATTCTCAACACATTAGCGTTCTATTTGTATAATAGATACATGCTTTTCTATACAAGAAATGTCGTATCCTGATACATCATCAGTTACAACGTGAACGTGGCCATTGATACTGACATAGAAATAAAAAATTGTTCCTATATCGATATTTTGTCATCTCTAGTATTACGACTTGTGCATTAACGGCTCCATTTGGTTAGTTGTGCGTTCGCATGCACCAATGAAAGAACATAAAAATCTATTTTTTAATTTGCAAAATTTATTTTAATAATGTGTTTATTAATTGGTCAACAGACCATACATATAGTTAATCTTTTTTTTATTTTATTCAAGATGTGTGCAAATTTTTGTTTATTTGGTTTGCGTTGATTTAATTTAACTCATTCCGTGTTCCATGTTTTAATAGATTCACTAAATAAACTGCTCTCAGTGCTGACAAGCTGTGACATACATTTATATCGGTTGCGTAGGCCCCATTTTCCTTAAATTTTAGAAAAAAGCGGCTTTCTTGAGTACGGAACGAAATAAGTTTAGGCGTGCCTCTTTTAGACGGGAATTGATTAAGTATTTTTTGGATGTGAAACTCGTATAATATGTATATGTATATGTTCAGAATATAAAGTGTATACATATGCATATATATATATATAAATATATATATATATATATATATATATGTAAAATGTGATCTGCTAGCGACAAGTATATCGAAATTTCACTACTAAGTAATAAATATAAATACTTTAAATACTTACCGCTTACAGTTGACATTTAGACACAAAAGGCTCTAGTAATAGAAACAAACCATACATCGTCTACTTTAATTCTCTTGATTCTCTTTCGCTGTCTCTTTCTCTCTCTATCTGTCCCTCTCTTTCTCACACACTGTCTGTCTTTTGATAATAGTTTTATATATATCTTCGGTCCATATCTGGAGTTTGATCTCTGTTTCACTGTCAACCTTTTTTATTCCAGTCTATCAATTGTATTGTGTCTAGATTTCTGAATGCTATTAAAATAAAACTAATATTTGATGTTCGTCGAGTGTGTGTTATCATGGAATGGTGCATATGCACATGACAGTGTTTAACTAGGTGTAACTATCATTTTCCTATACATTTTGTAACTTACATCTACTTCTTCAACTCAGTAATTAAATTAAATCAAAGCGTTGTGTTATCGGAACTCCCGACAAACCACTATTCTGGATTGATTAACCAAGAATGATGTATGTTATACATGAATTTAACAAAAGAAAGAAAATGTCAAATCCCTTAATTTATTGTATTATTCAGTATACCTGTTGTCCGTTATTCGCTGTTCAAAACTTCGAAATTATTGAAGTAAGCATAGATTTATGCGAATCCATACAACATACAATGACGAATATGAATGGTACATAGCTTAACTTTATATTATGGATTTAAAGTTTCTGTAGTCAGTTCGAGATACCCTCACTGGCACAAACAAAATCAGAGTCACAGCTTTACCTGTACACGTTCGTAAAGTCGCTTACTGCTCAGCATGGTGAACTTAACTTTTCCAGAACTCCCACGATTCCTCTTTCTCCTTCTCCACTTCGCGTTTTCCTTTTGAGGAACTAACTTCTTTTTAGAAAAGTTATGTTTTTATGCCTTCTTATCGTTTTATTTTTTTCTAAAGCCATAGAACACAATTCACATTTTTTCAGTTTTCTTTTCAGAAACAATTTATTTATTTATATTTTTCTAAGGGTATTAAGTTTTCATAAATTCCATATTTTTCCACCTTACACCGCATGCAAATCGTAAACCATACAAAGCTTTAAATCTGTTATTTCAATGATATATAGTATGCTATTACCTTCCAACTCTCTATATAATATATGTACATACCATACTTATAAGCCTACACAAAATCATTCCCATAATTTTTACCTTGGTTAGGCATACCCATCTTCGGCCTTTCGAAGCTTACATGCTCTTTCAAAGCTATTAAAACCTGGTAATTGATTTAAAAATTTTGTCCTAAATATGTTTGTAGTTTTTTTCAACTTATTCGGCGATTTTCTTTTAAGAAAAATAAAATTGGTTTTAGAACCAGTCTATTGGTCAATTTTTAAGGTTATTTGTTAACATGACAAATCCTCACTTGGCCTAATTTTATTTAGGCTTTTCATAAGCGTTAATTGCGAAAGTTTTCCGATCGTGAAGTTAACATATTTGGGTGCTTGTCTAATTGTATAGATTCGCAGAGGTTTATTGTATGTATTCCTTAATTTACAATTATAAATTGACTTAAATAGGTAATTATTTTAAAGATTTCTGGCCTCTATTTGTTACAGGACTTAATAGAAGTGAAAGAGTATGATTAAATCAAGAAATGTAGAATCCGAAATGGTTCAAAGTAAGACTACAGATTAATTCCCTTTCACGTTACTACTTTATAAATATATTATAAAATTATAATGCTCATTCCATTTTTTCGCTCTCCTTTTAATATGCTTAAAAACAATCCCGAACGAATGATTGAATGAATAAATTGACGTAAAACTCCACGACATAAACAAAATTATATACTATAAATTACAATTTACAAAAACTTAACCAATTTAAAAATGCAAAACCGAATCTATATATAACGCGTAAATCTCAACTCACCTCTAGATTTCAGTACCGGTAAGAAAAGTGTATATTCATTTATTTATTGGCAACTAGACGATGTTTTATCATGTCTTCTGCTTACATTCCGATTTCCATATCCACTCCTATTCCTACTAATCCTGTTTATTTTACACTTTTTTATTTTTTTGTTCTGTATTTATATTTCTTTTGGGTAGTGCTTTGTTTTGTCATTTATATTATCATCTGTATAATATATGTACAATATATTACATACTAATTCCATATTGCGTTATTGTACAAACATAAAAGATTTAAGCGTTTATAACAAGAGTTCTGTCTGCGCAGAATAATCACAATCGTGATTAGTGACAAAAACCATCCGTCAATTGTTAATGTAAGCAATATTATATTTACAAGTCCGATGTTTAACAATATACATTCTTCTACCGCTTTACCAAGATGCATTTAAAACAGAGTGATGTAAGAAATCAGACAGAATTAGCAATACCAGCAGGGGAGTAATAAATGCACCTTAAAGGCTTTATTTCAATGCGTTACACATTTCTTATTATTTAGTAAAATTAAAGATATATTATTGACCTCATTCAAATAATTGAATGTTTCCGGTCTATACCCAAGTATGTAATATATTTACAATCTTTATGAAATCTACTTACATATTTTCCTCTTCAATTTAAAAAATATGTTTTGACTGCTTGTATGTAGTGCTCTGTGTCATTATTGATCTTTAATGTACAAATGTATACAAATGCACCCTGTTAATTTGATCATCCAAACTTAATTCAACGCAGAAGTATTCCCATTTGATTACAGAACATAGGCGGCATGTACCATAAGCGTATGTATGTATGTATACATACTGTATTATAGAACAACAGAAACATGAATATACAAAAATTTCTAAATATCCCTGTCCAATGCAGATCCTGTTATTTGGTTAAATCTATAATAAATTCTATAAAAGAAAAGATTTTGTTGGCGTATCCTTTGACCTTGCAAGTTGTACTCTTGAGAAAGATAGAGGGATAGACATAATACTTACTTTCGATAGTCAATTGTTTTTGTGGGGCGGCCGTTTGTCTATATCAACTAAATTAGTTTTGCGTTTTGTAAAGCTTGTTACTGCAATTTTAAATATAGAAAAAACATATATATATACTCTTTTGTGCACAGAATATTACACAGTCGATTGCACTCGAATGTAATATTCTGTCTTATTTTTTATAGAATTTATATTTTCAACTTAATTTCTTAAGCCATTTCCGTTTCTCTCTAAAAGAGAAAATCGCCGAGATTAATATGTATACATCGATGAATAATATTTCAATTGTTTTGATAACTTTTCTATTCCGCCAAAATTTTTATCACTGAACAATGTCTTTTAGTAAATACATACAATATTTACAATTTTGCTAATATCATAAAAGCCCCGAAAATATTTCTTATATTATTTTTGACTAAGGGGAAAGAAGCACAGCAGCTATGTTACGTGTATAGCTTTGGTGCGTGTGTATGTGTGTATGTTGTCTCGAATGAAATTGAATGTATGTTATGGCTACTCAAAGCTGAGTGCAGGCTAATTTTAATAAT